CTTCTAGAGCCTTCCGTATCAGATACTCATGTATCAACTTCATCATCTAAACCCATGACAAATAATACTCGTATATCGAATGTATCAACTAAAAAAACTACAACAATAAATTCTTCAAATATTTCTAATCGTTCAACATCATCATCAACAACTAAAAATTCTCAGCCATTAACAACTACTGGTGCAACATGGGTTAATTCGAATCGATCAAATCGTAGTATAACATCATCTGTAACAACAAATTCTACACCATCAAATATATCAAATTCAATACCAGTATGGAATCATCAACAATTATCATCAAAATCATCTTTAAATCATAATAAAACATCTAATACAAATCATTATTCAACAAATCAAACAAATACTTCATCATCTTATCATTATCCATATTCAAATATTAATAATTCAATAAATAATCATAATCATTATGGACATTCATCAAATAAACAAATAATATCATCTAATAAACATTATTCAACAAATTATTATCAAAAAGGTGAACATTCAATACCATCTGAAACAACAACAACAGTTCATTCATCGCCAAATTCAGTTATTCCATCTCAACCAGGTCATCGAATTCCAGTACAACCACTTCCAACATCTTCCACAGTACCAACTATTTCATCATCATCATCATCATCGGAATCTATGTCATCAACACCAACATCATCATCATCATCATCATCATCTACTTTACTTGTTGCTTCATCAACAACACCAACTCCAACTAATGTAACAGCAGCTGGTGAATATAATCCATTTGCATCTAATATTCTTACAACATCAATTGTTGATGTCTTAACTAAAACTAAAGAATCAGTAACATCTATTGATGAAACAAATTCAAATGCAACAACAAAAATGAATTTTGCTAATGTTGCAAAAATGAATGTACCAACAAAATCATCTCATCATGAACCAATTGTTATAACCATGGATGAATCATTATCACCACCGCCTGATCCTAAAATTGCTCCTGGTTATCGTGGACCATCAAGTGCTGGTACAACACCAATACATCATCAACAACAAATAATTCGTACAACAAATTTTGATTCCATTTCTCCAACATCACAATTAATACGTGCACCAGGTGCTAATAGACATCAACAATCAATATCACCATCAATAAATAAAATACTTCTTGATCAAAATGGTCAAACAGGTTCATCAACAACATCATCAACATCATCATCACCATCATCAATAAAACAACAAACAAATCAATTTATTCAACCACAACAATTATTTAATTCATTAGAACAACAACAACAACAACCATTTGGACCTATTGGATCACATCGTACACAAATACCAACAACAGCTGATGTTACATTTCATGATAATTCACTTCAAATGAGAACTAAATTTAATCGAACATTATCAGCTAATAATACTCCAATGTATCAACCAGTTCTACCACAATCAATACCACCAATGCTTAACAATCCAGCTTATGCTAATATGTCACGTAGTAGATCGAATCTCAATCCAAGTGCACCAGAATTTCAACATTGTAATCGTTTACCACCACCATTTATGCCACCTCCACCACCACAAGTGCCTATGTCAAATGGACCATTATCAGCAAACATCATGAATATTGCTCGTATGATGGAACAAAAACAACAACAACAACAGCAACAACAATTATATGCCAATAATACGAATCCTCCAGTACATCCACCACCACCACCGCCACAGCCAATGGCACCACCACAAGTCTTAGCACCTATACGTCCACTTCAACAAGCTGATATGGAAGCAATGCAACAGCATGTGCAAAATCAAGTTTTACATTTTTTACGTTTACATGCCAATCAACAACATCTTATACCACCACCACCACCACCACAATTACCAACAACATTACAAATAGCTAATATATTAGCATCAAAAGGACAATTACCACAAGATCCAAATCAAGCAGCAGCACTTGTTGCTGCTTATTATTATACAAATTTTCTATCACGATCACAACAACCACAACCACCAACAAATACTATTCCATTATCGTCTAATGTAAATAAAAATGTCTATGAGACGATTAATATACAACAACCAACTACTTCAAACAGTGATGATATACCATTAACTGCAGGTAAATTTTAATAGAGAGAGAAAATAAGATAGAATTTCACAAATATGCTTTAGGATTAATCATATTAACTCTAAAAATTTTAGCGATAATCGCTAAACTTTCAAAAAATATGTTTTCAAAATAGAGAATAGTCCACATTATAACTGCATCTCGATCCGAGCGATCAAGATCGGACTGATCTCATCTTGCCTACGTTTCTAAGGTAGTGCATATACTAAAAATTTCAGATAGGTAGATTTAAGACTTGTTGAAATCATAGAAGAACGAAAGCATTCCATACTTTTGCAATTTTGTTCACTGAATTGTTTTTTTTAATAACTAGTTGATCCAATAAATGGACCAGTTCAAGCACAAGTGATTGTTGATCAGAATGTTATCATTGGTAATAGTAATCATTCAAGTGGCTCTTCTTCTTCATCATCATCTACGAGTACTAGTGGTGATCACAAAATGGTACCAGCTGCCATTGGTAGCGAACGTAAACGTCATTTACCTATACCAACAACTGTTGGTTCAATACCGACTGGTGATTGGTCTTCCGTTTCAAAACGTACGGTTTCTTTTTTATTTGATTTATTATTTTGTTTTTTGGAACGGTCTCTTCTTTTAGAACCATATCCAATCGATCCATATCTATCGCAGCAGCAGCAAGCTCCACTATCATCCGAATATCAACAACAACCGATGCGCGACTATACACGTTAGAAAACAAAAATGTAATAGTTCTATTCGATTGAAAACATAATGCATAGATTTTGTCTCTTATTATTTAAAGATTTCGGTTTTTTTTATTCATACACTCTTCATAACGGCGTGTGACACATTGTCTTGCTCTCTTGTATTGCTTGTGCGTGTGTGTTTTTTTTCTTTCTCTATACATCAGTTTCGTTTGTTCTTCTCTAACCGATCGTTTACTTTTTTTTTTCTTTTGCCCAATTTTACTAGCTCTTTATTCTCCAGACATTTTTCCCGATTGTTAAAAGCAATGGGTTCGCGCATTCGTCCCATGTGCCATTCTAATCAGTTCTCTTCGTGTTGAAGACGACGTAGCAGCAAGTTTCTCTCGCGTTTTTTTTTTCTTTTTTGTGTCATCTCTTTTTTTTCGATATACATACAAATACAAACATACAGAAAAACCAAAACAAAAAAGAATTCTTTAAATTTCTACAAGGCTCAAAAGTAGACGAGAGAAATTTTTTTCTCTAGATGACCGATGGTTGTTTAAATTGTCGTTTACTTCTATCATTTATTTGTATATTAAATTTTCTTATTTCAATAACACTTAAAATAAATCAAACATGGTTACATGTTTCATGGTTTTTAATATTTATACCAATATGGATATTTAATTTAATATCATTATGTATAATTGGATATTTAGTTTTAATAAAAAAATGGTTACAAAAAAAAGAAAAATGTTTAAAAATAATTTATTATTTATTAAATTTATTATCATCATGTGCATTTGAAATATTATTATGTATTAAATTAGAATATGAACAAAATATGCCATATTGGATTGTATTTTTACCACTATGGATTTTAATGATTTTTACTTTTAGTATTATTATACAACAAATGTATAGAACATGTCAAACAACAACGGAAAAAACTATGTGAAAAATTTTCTACTAAGAAAATAATAGTATCAATATACATATATGCAATCGCTTTGAGAAATCTCATTGAAAGTTTTCTCGTTAAATGAAGAATAACTATTCGTAACTGTCATGATGTTACAACCATCGAATGAAACAGAAAATAAACTATAATATAATTGTATATTTGTTGTATTAATTGATATAATAAATACTATCAGTTAAATAGAATATTTGGATGTTAATGAATTTCTTAAGATCCAAAGTAAAGCATACATATTGTACTTTGCGAGTTTTCTTTTCCTTTTTACTTACTAGACTTACGCATTGAAAGTTATTGTTTTCTTTTGCGATGATCTCAAGAATGTAGAGTCAAAAAATACGTAGATAGACGATCTACTACTGTCTGATTCATACTTCAAAGTAATTACACGTTATTTCAACGATATGGATTGATAGAGAATTCATTTCAATACTAAACCCTTATATTTAAACTCAAAAAATAGATTATATGTCTTGAGCTCTTTACACTTGTTACGCTATAAATAGCAGAAGTAAAAAAGCTTATTACAATCCCATCAACAGTTGTACATAGAACTATGATAAGCTCTTGACTACTACAATTCATAGTATAACAAAGGTATTCTACAAGAATTTCCTAAGAAAATATATTCCCTAGAAATTCACACTGTTAAAAAAAGAGCTTTTAGCTCCTTCAAAATGTGAATAAGACAGTACAAGAACGTCTATCTGTGGCCAGTGTATACATATGAGACGGTTGAAACAATTTGTCAACATGAAATATTTATTGAAATAGAACATCTAATCCTGTTTGTTGTGCTCTTGCTAATGATATATAAGGAACAATAAAATTAGCTAAAAATTATAAGAATTATGTAGAGCGCAAGTTATTCTATCGAATGACGTATCATAACGAATAGTTCAGTTTAGAACAGATACATAAAAGTTTGCAAAAATACGTCATGGAATACTTTTGAAAGAATAAAAAAAATGTATGCTGTGATGGTATCATCAATAAAAACTAAATAGATCAATGTGTTAACCTGATATTTTTTACTACTAGAAACTATATGATGTAATCTGACGAAAACAAGATGATTCTAGCTCATTTAGCTTTTGAAATATACGCAAAAGGATATAAAGCTATCTACAAGTTGAGTAATTGGGTGTGGATGTGAGTATGGATGATTAAAAGATCCGCACCCACACTCTTCTTCAAGAAAACAAATGAATTTTTCGAATATTTTCTAGATAGTACGCATCAACAATAGAACATGAATTCATCATTTGAATCTCTTTCCACCGAACTATTGTTTGAATTCTTTGATTATTTATCCCCATTCGATTTATTTCGAATTTTCATCAATCTCAATAATCGTCTAAATGCCATTGTTCATTCATATCCATTTCGATTAGATTTTCGACCCATCAGTCGATCAAAATTCGATTTTATTTGTCGTCATCTTCAACCGAAACAAGTTATTTCATTGATTCTTTGCGATGAATATGTTCCTGATCGAGTGAAACTTTTCCTCGATCATTTTTCAAATTTTAAAGAACAATTTGTTCGCCTTCAGTCTGTAACATTGACCGAAGCCGAAACTATTACTTTCATCGATTTACCCGTATCTGTTTCATCACTATCAATCAGAAGTTATGATGCTAATGATTATAACGAAAATTGCATTAATGAAATTTTGTCTCGACAAGCGAAAGTGTTAACTTATTTAAAAATCGATAGTAAAGATTTAAAGCATCTTATTGACATTCGTTTTCCAGCTCTTACCCATTTGATTATTGGTAGAGGGTGTTATTATGATGGTAAATATATGGATGTGTCTTCTCCATTAAAGAATACTGATGTTTATTCGTTAATTCAAGAATGGCAATGTTTTCTCACTCATCTTTATCTTGTTATCGATAATAATAGTCAATATTCAACATTTAATCTTGATCGATTCTCTCATTGTCTCACTCATCTTACATTACACTTTTACCGAGGTAAAGAAAACTAAATAAAAGTTGATTTTCATTTATCATCTGAAATTATAGGTATTCAAGTATCATTTGCATGTCTTGAACGATGTTTGATTAAATTGTTTCAATTAACAAATTTCACTTGTCAAGCAAATGGTTCATGAGATTTAATCGATGGAAAACAATGGGACCAATTACTTTTGAAAACACGAATTATTCGATTTAATTTCAAATTTAAGTTGAATTTCACTTGGGAAATTCCATCAATACTGGAACCATTTCGTTCATCATTTTGGCTTGAACAACGACATTGGTATGTCGGATGTTACCAAGATGAATCAGACACAAGCACAATTATCTATTCAATACCTCGATTTCGAATACGTACGCTTAAGTATCCTTCAGTTGAATTTCCACATATGACAACAGCACCATCGAATATTGAAAAAAGGTTTTTCTATTCAAGTAGAATCAATTATTTCTCGTGTAATATGAATAAATTAATTACACCAGTTGGTTGTCGCTTCAATCAAGTTAAATCATTGACACTTTCGGATTCATCATTATTATCATTGAATATTCTATCATCAATTGTTGATCTTCAACAAATTCAATATCTAGATGTGGCCGATATTCATCTCTTGTTACCTGATGAACTTGAAAATCTTATTGCTCATACTCCTCGTGTCACTCGTTTATCAATGAAATTCGATCCATTGTTCATTATACCTTAACAAATCCGTTACCTTTACTGGAAGGTCTTGGTCAATCGATTTCTCTTGATAGACTTTCTTATACAATATCATCTGTTGAAAGGTTAGAGATATCCATGGCATCAAAACAAATGATCATTGATGTTATTGATCGATTCAATGGTCTGGAAAATTTTGATATATTCTTTGATGATGGTGATCTTGATGATGATTGTATGACTATTTATAAAGGTGTCTCAATTGATTGGTTAATGAAACATACGCAGCGTCTCAAGTCACATGATTCCACCTACCGATATTCCAGAGAATTCTATCCATCGATTAATTTGTCATTTGGCGACCAACGAAAAGTAAATGACAATCAAGATTAAGAACATCATTCCTATGTTATATTTTTCTTTTTTTTTTGCCTACGAAAAATTACAGAAGAAAATAAATTTTCATTTAAAACACTAGATATTTAAATTGAAAATAATCTCGCTTTAGGTGAAATTATATAGGGTGGGTGTGAGTACAACTTTGGGTGTGAATCGAGAGAAGATAGCCAAGACCTATTGAGAACGAAAAAAAACTAGACTACTTCGAATTTGAAGACACAAATGATGATATTATGATTAAAAGTGCAGAAATAAATAAGTTTGCCATTATAAAAAAAAAAAAAAGAATAACGTGATTCAAAGCAACGAAAAAAGAAAAGATATTTTTTGTTCTATTGTTTGTCTTTAAGCTGTTATCATAAATGATTATAAAGTTGATCATTTTTCTTCTGATTTTTTTTTGAATTTCGTACAACATTAATGACGATAAATCATTTCTTATTAATCATGGTTTTTCAATGTTTAAATCATCATTTAACTAAAACACAAAAAACAATTCTCTAAAGAATTGTATTGAAACAAACATCTGGTATGTGGGCTACTGTGAGTGTTTGTTTTATGTACATTTACATTCTTAAATTATTAGATGTCTACTATGACCAAATGAAAACACTTGAAACTAATTTTAATGATACAAACATTATTGAACCTTTGAAAAAAGGAGAATTTATAGCTCCAAGGTATTTTCATGATAGAATCGAAGAAGAAATAATGTTATCAGCTGCATTATGCAAACCAATGAGTAATGAAATTCAGGAAGAAGCTTTTGGTTTAATAGCACTTAATGAATGTACTAATCTGAAAAATATTGCCCGTCAATACAGATCTCAAATCGAAATACATGAAGAGACTACCAACAAAACCTATAAAATACCTAAAGCCTTAACACAAGACCTTTCGAATAAATAAACAGCAGCAGCCATTACAGTACAAAAGGGTGATTTAGCTGAAGATAAAGTATAGACTCAGTAAATTTTAAGCAAACAATAATAATTATTAGTTGATAGTTGTCTTCAGGTCGATCTTGTTGTTGTCTTCTCAACATCGCTTCAAAAAGCTGGAGAATCTGTAAAAAAAAAAGGAGTACAATACAATAGCAAAGAGCTCGCCTTCGGAAATTTTTGAAATCTATTCAGGAAAATTGCAATGTCGAAGACTCTTATTTTTAACGAGGCAAATCAATCAAACTAATCAAGAAGCATTTTATCAATCGATTCGAAATTTTGTAAGTACAGCTATTCAACATGCCATTAAGTTTCATCATACATCAATTGCATTTCCAGCTATTAGTTGTGGAAATATTGTTTCGATAAAAACATTGTTACTCATGAAATGTTAACTGAACCTCAAAGACAATTATTGTCGGCTAATGTTTTGCTAAAAAATAAATTTTATCATTTCACCTGATCAAAATAATGTTTTTGAAATATTTCAAGCCAAGCTAGAAAGTCTGAAAAAAGGAGAGCACGCAGCAAGAAAAGATAATCATATTACATTTAATGTTACAACTAAATATATAATGTAAAAAATCATTTCAAATTCTCTTCATTTCATTATATCTTTATTCTAGCAATGACAATCATTATTGTGTCTAATACTATAGAAAAACAAGACGCATGTAAGAAGGATTTTGAGGATTATGTACAGAAGTCAATTTCAGTGAGTGAACAGCATAATCTAAGTGAACTAAAAAATGAACGCAACCTACTATTGATTCATTTTATACGTATTGTTCGCAACAGCTTGTTATATCAGAAATGAATATTCATACTGGTTATTGTAAATTATTTGGTTCAAAGGAATCGGTTAAAGAGGCAGAAAATGAATATTATCGACAACAAACTAAACAAAACGAACATGCTCGTTTAATGGTCGTTGCTCGAGATATAATTTGAGCATTTAAAAAGAATGAAAACCATTGGGAGAAATTTCCTTCTGAATTAAATGCTCATATTGAAGGTGCATTTATATCTAAATTGAAAACGGTAAGTATTAACACGATATACTGCTTATGAAACATATTATTCTCTTAGCATGAATATGATAGGATGCATGCTTACATCTGATATACATCTTGTATGAAAACTCACGTTGAAATATAAATTAATTAATATAGCTCTTAATAACTTGCCAAGATTTGCTTGAATCTGAAAAATATTGATTTCGTACAGAAGTACTTTTTTCTCTATCAAAGTCATTGATGAAATAAGTTTTACAATTATTTTTATTATTTTCTTCTTTTTTCACTAACATGAATATGTTGAATTCGATGGATTCAAATTGTTTGAAACATTCTGAGTCTTTTTTAAACACTGGCTTATTCTGGAATGTAGCTTGTCATTATCATGTCACTTCTGATCTTGGACGTTGACTGCTAAACCATGCACAAGTTGAAAACTAAGAATAAAAATTAGTAATGAAGTTGCAATACTAGGCTTTCTGATAGCTGTACTGATGCTAATATAGTATAGGTATATTTCATAAGATTCATCTGAGCGATTTTCTTCTCTGATCTTTTCTTATACTTGATCAATACAGGTATGCTCTTGACAGTTAAATCTCTTTTCCACTTAGAACTGTCGCAATTGGATGGTTTTCGAGAATATTGATTGATGAGTGTTTTACTTCATTTTCAAGTTTGGCTGCAGAAATGAAGGCATTTTAATAGTGAATCACTACCTCGATGACGACGTGCTCGTGTTCACTCAAACATCGATGAGTTTTTAGCTACTATAATTGATACCTAAACACGATATTACAGTGTGAAAGTTCGATTATTCCGGCTCTCAGAGTACCAAGCTTATAGCCGATAAATAAAAACTTTCAGATAGTTTCATAGAATCAATTCGTTACAGAACTTTCTGTACTACATGATTTAATATTGCTGGTGGTTTTTTTCTTTATCGTCCTAAGATGAAGTCTATATAAATATGTGTCTATCCAAAAAGAATAAAAACGAACAAGTGCTACGTTTTTCAACGCTCATAATTAGTTTTCTTTTGAGAAGTCTGAACACAATAAACAATTGTTTTTGCAATTCAAGTACACTAACGATAAATCTGTAGAATACGAAATTGATTTCAAAAGCTGTATCGAAACATGTTTGACTACTGAACAACAACGTGAAATTATTCGACATGGTGATGTTCGTGTACCATCGCATTGGGAATTACAAATAAACGATGTTGAATGATTTCCCTTAAATGAGATTTCAGATGAATACACACATATTCGTGCATTATTGGATAAAATGATGGCTCAGAAATATACAACAATAATTCGTATAGAATGTATTCACAACAAGCATTGGTATAATACACACTACAATTCATATAAAAGTTTTTCGTCAAAAGAAAACACAGAAAAACAATTATTTCATGGATGTCTACAAGAATCAGTTAAACTTATTATTAACTCGTTTTTGAATCGGTCATTTGCTGGAGTCAATGTCAATGGTTTGTTTGATTTATTTTATAACTTTTTTGTGAAATAACACGTTTTTAGGCGTGGTATATGGACAAGGAGCTTATTTTTCAGCAAATACTTAATCAATCGAATAGTGAATGATCTATGCTTGTAGTCAATGTAATAGTGGGTAATACTACACGAGGAAATTCTGCGATGAAAACACCGTCTGAAGGCTTCGATTCGACTACGGACGGAGATCATATCTTTGTTACATATCGTGATGATCAAGCTTTTGCAGAATATCTTATTGTTAAATTTTGTTTTCTAATCCACAAATGTGTGCCTTTTACTTATGTATGTAATATTGTTCATGTCAAATAATCAAGATGATGTTATCCTTTTCTGCAAGAATGTTGCGAGCGTTCAAAGACTGAGGGGAAGATGATTTATAAACTCATAATGAAGATAACAGGGAATGTTTTCATTGAACGAAACAAAACATTTTTTTCTATAGTTGTTCGAAGTATTTATTATAAGAAAAATCTTATAGATACGTTTCATAATACCATGAGTCAAATATTACTTCTAGTCTTCTGCTTTTTAATCATTACTAGTCTTAAGCAAATATGGAGAAGTGAATGTTTTGTAAAAAATCTTTCTCAATTGTACAAAGTATAAGCTATTTCATTTTATCATTACTCAGGATCGATCTTCAATTATATTCCAGTAACTTTAATTTTGACAAACTCCGTTCATTAGTAGCAACAATTATGAGAGAAATAAGAAGAAATTAGTAAGAGTAGTGGTGTGGACGTGCAGATACACCTATTCTATACCCACATGTTCATTGTCTTTTTTTTCAATGAAAATTGAAACGATTTCGATTTCATACAATTTTTTTAAAAAAGATCTCTCATATCGAATGAAAAATTCTATCATATATCTCAACGCATCAATAGAACAATAATGTTTACTGTTTTAGTTGCATCAATTATAGTCCTATATCTACTATTAATGAAATACGTAATTAAGTTACATGCATGCTTGTACGTTGCATAGTTCTTGAAAGCATTTAATTCAACATTTTTTTTATCATGGATATACTCATATATGAAATTTGTATACATAGATGTTCACTCTCATATTTTCAAATAATTAATTCAGATTTAGTTTAATCAATCTTTATTTGTCAAACTAGAACAATATCTTAACTATATCACCATATTATTAATAAATAGATGTTATAAATACCCATTGTATAATAATTGTTCATTGGCTGCAAACGAATATATCGTCGACCGTCATCAACTTAGACGATAGAAAACGCGCGATTGTTTTCATTGGCGTCGGCAGTAAAATTTAAACCAATCAGTATAAAGATAGAACTATTGCCATTTGAATATAAACGATGCATTCAATTCTGTAATGGGTACAAGTATACAAGGTACTTTTTTTTTTTTTTACAAATCATGTAACATCGTTCAAATGGTCATCAAATGATCTTATCTATACATTGGATGATAAAATCAGATGGCTTAATTTTGAATTATTAGCTATGCAATCTATTCTTCTTACAACCCATTATCTTAACTTATATGGACTTGGTTTACACAACAATGATGAAAATACAACTATATATATCTATTTTGCCGTAAGAACTTCGATTTCAGTTTTTATTAAATTCAAATAATTAATCCGACCATTAAAAGCTTCTTTTACCCTAGAATACTTTTGTATATGACTTATAATTTATTAGAAATATGGATAAGAGCAAAATTAATAATAGGAAAAAAGAGATTAGAAATATGTTCATAGAAAGAACTTTCTAATGAAACAGGTGAATAGTCAAGTTAGAACGAAGACTTGGTAAATGAAAATATTATTTTCTTTGGTTATAAAGAATTACATATGAAAGGATCATCTGAAAAGTATGAAATATAAATATTTGATCAAAATATTTTTTTCAGTATTCAGATCGAGATAAGTAGTTTTAATCGACTTTTTTTAGTTCAGTTCTAGAAATCGACTTCATATTGACTAAATGGACGATAAATGGTTACTGATACATTTCCACCATATCGAGACAATTGTTTTAGTAAAGTTGAGAAATTTAGTCATTTAAAGCCATTCGATTGAGTATTATCCTTGTAAATATATTGTATAAAGAGTATCTAATGCATGACGGTTTCTTTTCAAAAGTATTTGATTGCCAAAGAATCGCGAGGATTTAATTATTCCTACATGTTGGATATTGTTATTACTATGTATCGCCTTTTTTCATCGGTAAGAAACTGAGTATGCATGTTGAAGAGAATGTTTTATATAAATTGATCTCGGTTGACAGGACCTACAGGAGAGTCGGAAAGACCAATAATGAAGATGATCAGTTGCGTTTTCAAATCATTTTGTATATTTATTTAGACGAGCACTCTTACTTTCATATTTTCAAAAAAGAAATATCATCACTTACTATTAAAAATTATTGAATCTAAAATGTTTTTCATTAACTTGTAATTTGAAGACATCTAAGTATGATGAATTAATTGTGCCACTTTTACATCGCATGGCAGATTCAGAAAAACTTAATTTCTATCGTCTAATTAATCATAATACAAAATTTGTTGATGGTATTGATTTGGAAAAGAATATTATTGATTATTTATTACATTTATAATAATTTCGATTTAATAGTCATCCATTTATATCTATTCATAATCAAATTATTTCTTATGTTAATTATTTTCCTAAAAGTGAAATAGGTTATTGTTCTATTTATTTATATTCATATTCAAAAAAGTAATATATTATCATCATATTACAAATACTTTTCGACATGGATTATTTAAATACATCCATTTGAACATGAGTTTGTTATTTGAATTTCTCAATCACCTTTAACTAATCAAGCACCACGAAATGACAAATAATATCAACAAACAAATTTTTCGACTGTTCAATTTCTTCATTTTACTATCTTATTTAACATTAATTATTATTAGTTGAAGAGAGTAACTCATAATTACACAAGAGCAACAACACGAAATAATTGTCTCAAATTGACTGACCTATTTCTTAATGATAAACCAGATGTTCCAAAATACATACAAGAATATAGTCTATGTACAAGTATGTATTAGTTTTCTGTTTAATTATTATTCAAATAAAAGGGATGATGGCCTCTGCTGGATGAAAAAATTTTTGTTCATCCTAATTCTTTTATTTTTAGATAGATTTATTTGAATGTAAATAAACTAAGATCATAATTGATATCAGGTAATGCTAGTTCTTAGAAGAGCAACGCTATGAATTCAAATAGTACAAAGAATTGTATGTTGAGATGAAACCGGCACGACTGAACCATCGCCGTGACACAAAACAAAATATTAGATTTTGGAAATTTTTCGAGAGTCAAGATGAGTTTTTGGGTATATTCCTCTTATAAAAAAGATAAAAAAATCTACTTGTCATCGACTTTTTTGTAATTTATTAAAATCCAACTAAGTCTGTTTGTGAATCTGAAAACTAATTTTGTAATGTGCTCGATCTAGAACTGACTGAGTTTTTTTTTTCGCATTGTAACGTGAAGCATGACATGTGTGTCAAACGTTGGTCTACTGTTGTGTTTATCCTTTGTTGAGTTGAGATGTTCAAGAAACTATTGAAAAAATTCAAGTTTTCTCAATGAAAAAGCGCATTTGACGACCACCATTATTAAAACCAATCAGAAACTGAATAATTTGATTTGTATTAGACTAAAATCAGATTTTTTTTCTTTTTTTGCTGCTTGTCTAGGCTGTTATGAATCAGATCCCTACCAATATTGTCTATTCTTTTAATTTCAAAATCTCTCGAAACTAAGAAAATATTAAGTGGACTCACCGAACATATTCAGCCGCCGCCTCCGATAAACTCATCGGCTTACACTTCTAATTGTATGTATACTAATAAGAAAAGACAGTACAGACAAGAATATATCGGTTAAATAAAGTCAATGAAAGAAATAAATGAGATGAAATGATAACATAGATATATATCACATATTTTTTTCTTTGTATTTTTAGGAAAATAAATTTCAAGGAATGACTTATGTTATTTTTTGTTTCAGACTATTTAATCGTTGCTATTATTGGTGTTGTTTGTATAGAAGAAGAAACAACGTAAGTTTTCATTTTACATATAAATTCTTGAAAAATCTCTTTTTTTTCCTTGTATTTCAATCATTTTGTAACATTTGTTCAAAATTATTATATTAATAGTTTGAAAAAAACAAACTAATAAAGTCAAAAATAATTATTGTTCAAACTAACTTTTTGTTTGATCGAATCAACTTTTATTGATTCTTTTCTATTTAGTTCTTTATTTTGTATTAATGCAAGGTAGAATAGTTCTTTTGCAATTTTATTTAATGTTTTTTTTTTATCTCTAGAAATTTCAAAATTATTCTAAAATGCTCAATAAGTATTTGATCAAACAATTGAATATTATCAACAAATTAAATTATATTAAACACACAGATAAATATGATTTTTTTTTCTATTAAAATTGTATCATTAAATGAATTTAGATCGATTTGGCAACTCGTTGAACTCTATTGGAATACAATCGATTACAGTTAATAACTCAGTTCGGTTTCAAAGTATCGAAGAGAAAAAAAGAAAATTGATAAAAATGTCTTGAAAATATCATAGATCATTTTTTTAAAATTTTTATGAATACTCTAAAATTGTTTTTATTACTTATGAATTTTAATTAATAATTTAAAATTTTATGCATAGTTTGTTGATGCTGATGTAAATGAACACTTATGAATATTATTATTATTAAATTTTCTTATAGATAGCAATGGAAATGTTTCCATTTCTTGAAACTATTTTACATTTATATGCAGACAAATACGAACATTATAGAGAAAAGTTGATCGTTTTGGTTCATTGGACTTTTTTAACTAGATATTTTGTAATTCTAAAGAACGATAAAGTAAGATACTGTTTTCTGTTTTCAATCTCAGCTAATTAAATTTATTATTTTTTAGAATAGTGAAATTATTGATTGGATAAAAAGCGAGAAAAATTCAATAGATATTCATTATTTTCGAGAAGATTTGTCCATACAAACTGAACAATTTTTTGATGACGAAAATTTTTTTATTAAATTCAAGATGATAAGTTCACAGACACATAACAAATCATCTTCAATTCTTTTTTCTTCTAATTTTTAGGATGAAAATAATCAATTACTTATGCATTTTCCAGTAAATGATTATATTAATGAAAATGATGGGTAATTTTATGAATCCTTTATTGTAAAAAAAAAATTCTTTTTTGTGTAGGTCTTTAAAAGATTTTGATGAATTCATAATAAAAATAAAAAACGAAATTTATGCATTATCACAACGAAAAGTAAAGATCGATAAAAATAAAGAAAAAGAATTACAACAACAGCAAAAGTAAGAATAATGAATATCCTTATTTAATATTTATTTTTTGTTTTAGAAATGATAGTCAAATATAAATTTCATCATCATTATCATAAAAAGATATTGTCTATCTTTAATTTAAAAAAACATTTATCATTTCATGGTCAAGTTTCTACTTTATATATAGATAAATAATTATAAATAAAACAATTAAATTTAGTTCTGTCTAAATGAGTATTTTATTCATTGAATATTAGCAATTCTAACTAAAAAAAATGATAACAATGATCTAATTCATATAGATTATTTTATCTTTAACTAAACATTTTCAATTCGATTGTCTCAAATAAATATTTATTTGTTCTTCTGCTATTACTATTTTTATATGTAGGTCTTTAACGAAAGATATAGCTTGCTTAATGATTTTGAAACCAATTGAGAATCGATTAGTTTAATTAAAAACCACTGTACATTTCTTTCTTTTTTTTGGAATATTCAGTCAAAATTTTTGCTAGATAAAAATTAAATCGATAAATTCTATCCAATGATGTGTGAAAAAATGATAAGTAGACTTTCGGATAATTATATGTTCACATTCATTTGTTCGACGTTTTATTTTTTGTGTTATACAAATAATAAATGATGTTTTTATGAAGAAAATTTCATTATTCAATTATGTTTAGTAGTACAAAAGTTAATCAATTTGACGCAGTATTCATTTGGAATATTAAAGAATTTTTCGAACAAGATTAATTTAAGAAAAATATTTTTTTTGTAATTTAGGCAAAAAATAATGATATGGATGTGGATGTTAGTGGTCGTTTCATCCGAATTCACAACCACCTCTACTCACACATTCTAATTGTTTTCTCTTTTTTTTGTATGAAAACAGTTATATTAAAAAATAAGAAATGGTTATGATGACGATTTTTTTCATCTTATTTTCTCATGAAAATGATCATATTTTCAGGTATGTTTTCCACATCATGGACTTTTTCCAGCAGAATATTTAAATAGAATGTTTAATAATATTGCTGGTTATTTGATTGATATTCATGCTGCTATATCATCTGTTTCACTCATCCTACATTGTTGTTCAATAAAATCATTTGTTATTTGTTCATTACCAATATTTAATTGTGGAATCGAAAAACTTTTAAAACAAAGAATATTTATTGAGAGGACTAAATAAAGTACGTCATATTTCAATATTAAAATATGTTCAAGGAGAAGTAATTCAGATGAATGTGAAGATGTACGAGATTTTGATATAGTTGCACTTTGATATCGAGTAGTTAGTGTTGAATTTTCTACAGTACAACTCGAGCATGTACATGGAATATTTGCTGGATGATAAGTAGCAAATACAGGTTATTAACATTAAAAACAATGGAATGGTCAAAGAACAGATGGTATTGATGCAGATGATGATGACTCAACCTCTCCTAAAATAATATTAAATTTATGACCAGCTAAAATTAAATAGAGATCTAACAGGTGGTTTTCTTATGTTGACTTTGTGGCAATGTTGTTAAACGACTTGAATCAAATAACTAATAAATTGAACTTATATTCATTCTAAATAATGTTAATCTGAAAGTTTTTTTCAATACATAATTAAGATACATAAAAATGAAAAACCCAAAAAGAAATCGAAACCTCATTTTTATTCTTCTCAATCATATTTATTGTTTGACAGATTTTTTTTATTAAATTTTATGCAAGTTAATTTGTATTCATTTTTGTAATGACTCAAGACTTTTTTGTTGAAAAATATGGATTGTATTTCTATCGATCATTTACTGTTCATCTTTATTACATAAGAAACAATTTTCGCCATGTCATATAGACAGTACTGAAGAGCAAGCTCATAAAAGTGGAAACAATGCATATAGTAGCCAGATTTTGTTTCGTATTATATAAAATAAAAAGGAATAAGCACTATACAAAAAAAGAATCATTTATCTGTTTCAAAAATTTGTATTTCGAAGAACTTAGAAACATTATGATACTATCTGACAATAAGAGAATTATAGTAAGAATTATCAATAATTTTAAGTGCTGTCAGAAGAAGTAAACAAAGTTGCTATAATGGATAGGCATGAGTTGAATACTTAAATACCAAACAATATAGACGTATTTTAAAATCTACTTGAAAATGAACTATTTGTCAAACTTTATTTTAAAATCATTTATATAAAATTTGAATATTGATGTTATAATACATAAATAATGTAGAAACCTTTATGTTGTTGGACATCAGAAGATATTCAATCATGTTTAACACGTATTAGGGTCTGGATATGACTCTTTCCGTCACCTCACCCACACCCATGCCCATTCATAAGACTTTTCATCATATTAGACTTATTGAGGCAGCTGAGTCTGTATCTACTTTTTATGGTGATCAGCGGGAAAAATACCGATATGTGGGGAAAGAATATGGAATCACAAAACCAAAGCAAAATGACCAAAGAAAAATGTTCAATAGAAATATAATAAACTTTCGGATTTTTAGCATATCTATCTCATCTGATGATAATATTTGGAAATACTATTGAAAGTGATTCTCTTGCAATATAAAAAGATAAAAACATTCTCAAAAGAATTCAGACTTAGCAAAAATTTAGTATTATATAGTGAGCGTGTGGATGTAAGCAACAGTGTAGTAGAGAATATAACTGTACACTGATAACCACATCTACATCTCGCATGTGAATGATTCATGTAAAAGCACTGATAAATGTATTCTTTTTCTCCTCTTCTAATTATATAAATTAAGCATGACATTCATTACGCTTAAAAACGAAAGATGAAAATCGTGTCGTCGTAAGTTGTCATATGTAATTATTTGCATGTGTTTCGTTAATTCAGAAGAGTTAGTCAACCAATCATTCTTGCGCTCTCTGCATACATTAACGACAGGTAATATTCAGCATGTGCAAGATGAGAAAATATTCTTTTTACAGACTCTTCTATTTTGATGCTTGTTTTTTTTTTCTTTTGAGTGAAGAGAAACAAATATATGCATCAGTGATCACTATTTTAAACACGGATAATGAGTCTATTTTCTTCACATTATTTTGAATTTTTTACATTCATTTAGATTTACAGCTAGTGTAGTAGCCAGATCTTGCTCCATTCCGACTTCTCTGAAGCATTATTCAATGGTAACTATGGACAGACTATTTTTATTTAGCCTATAGAAAATTTAGATGATATATTTTCATATGAGAGCTCGTTGACCTAATGAAAAGCATGATTCAAACTTCTATTGCACTTTCGTTCTTACAAATAGGCAATAAGATCTGTAATTTACTAATCATCCGAAAACATGTAAAATGTCTCATATTTTTTTATATGTTTTTGATACAATATAAAACTTTAGTCCTAGTATTAGTATTGACTTCAACGTTGCTTCAATAATTCTTTATGTAGACACAATATTCCCTGCAAACATACTCATACCCTCATACTATTTTAGCTGAAGCATGACAAAGGTTGTGCGAATTTAGGTATAGGTCTGCATTATGGGCGCTGGTTCTAGTTGTAAGCATCTGATCTTGTAACCCGTTAATCTTTCTTGGTCTTTCGATGGACTTTGTCGCTTGTAATGTCTAGTAATCTATGGTTCTCGCAGGAAGTCCTTGGTAGAGTCTGTAAATAGTTGTCGTCTATAGAATGCAAAACATTCGAACTACGTTGTAATTCATTTTCGCCATGGATTCGAGTAGTTTTTCTAAACGACAATAGATATTATCGACATTTAGAAGTAAAATATTCAAAAAAAAACTTCTTTTCTCTCAACAGATCAAGTAAAACTATCATATTGACACTTCCGTTTAAAATCTCTTGATTTTTAGAGATATCATTAATTAGTCATATGAGAGATGCTTTTCGTTAACTTTTATTTCTTCATAGATTGAAATAGTCTCAATCGATTGCTCACTCTCTACCAAGAATGTATTCGTTCATGAAAACAGAAACGGAAACTCAATTTTAATTGCAGCAAATTCAGAGAACTATCACAATAATATGATTGATCAAAGAAAAACTCGCACAAGCCAACGGACTACGTATGACTTCTTGTTTCGGTGTTACATATGATAGTTTTTGCTCTTTGCTAGAAAATATTGGGGGGGTGTGGGTGTGGGCGGGGTTGGGGTGTTGGTGTGGATGGAAGAGAGGTTCTGCTGGAACCTACACCCACCTCCACACAAACACACATATTCACATCCGCAGCTACATCCACATGCACACCCACACCCCACACCCATATCCACATCCACCCACATCCACATCCTCCCACACCCACACCCACACCCACATTCACATCCACACCTACACCCATACCCACACACACCTACCAACAACCCACACTCACACCCACTCACAACCCACAGCCAGACCCCACACCCACACCTACACCCACACCCACACACCCACACCGACACCCACACCCACACCCGCTGTGGGCGTATAGGTGGATCAGGTACAAAACATTATTTTCAGAAGAAGTATTAGATTTTTTTAATGCTTTATTTATGCTCGGTAAACTTATTCGTTTAAACACTGCTTCACGTAACGAGTTTTAGAGAAATTCTATCGATACTTATTGTTTTACTGTCATAGAAAACTTAAAATTAGCGATCTATAAAACTATACTCTTTTTCGTTTCATCTTTTAATTCTAAAATAAATTTCCGTTTCAGTAAAACACTTATCTATGAAACAGCTATTTGCCCACAATGGTATTGATGATGCAATTAATAATACAAATCGTGCATTAGGTGATAATACTGCATCAAAATTATCAGTTATTATATATAGTTCATCTGATATTATTGCAAATGATATTAAACAAATTGAAATTTCTATTACTAAACTTCACAAGCTTTTGAATGATATTGTACAAATAAAAGATAATACTTTAGAGAATAAAAATTCAGTATTATTAATAAATATTCTATGGAAAGAATTTTCTTAAGTAAATACCTGACAAATATAATTAGTTCAAAAGTAAAATAGAAAAGTTTTCTTGACATATTGAACGTCTATAATATATGCAAGAAGAAATAAATAAAGAATTTGCCGTAAAGCAAATAAATGATTTTTTTTTTCAGAGCTTTTATTTTCTTTCAGAACGTTCAATTGATATTAAACAACGAGTATTAATCAAAGGACAAGAATTAATTTAATTATTTCATTCAGGGTGTAGATGTGGAAGTGAATGAAAGACTTTGCCTCATACTAGCACCCTACCTACACCCATATCCACATCTCAACATCGTATATCCGTAGTATATGCTTTTTGTTTGAATAAAAACCAGACTAGAATCATCTGTACAAAAGGTGTAACATGGATTTCGATTTTTTTCAAGATACTTGTTAGACCCTTGTTTAACGTCATATAAATGAATATTCTTTTGGATTTTATTCAAACCTATAGTTTTATTATTCTAAAGTCTGAAATGATTACTTAATGAATGTTTAATAGCATAAAAGAGTAGAAAAGAATTGATTATAATAAAGTTATATCGTTTGAGGACAATTTTATTTCTAATCTTGTTTTTTTAAACTAGGGGCAAAGGTTTGAATATGATTGATATTCTTTATTTTATGGAATCTCAAAACTTGTTATTAGCAGCATTTACATTGAATAGTAATTAACCCGTTGAGAATCATGAAACATACGGTATCCCATCTATTTTCTAATAGAGAAAATGTTTGCCTTCCATTAGTGTTATAACCAGTAAGATAAAAGGTCGTCCCATCTATCAACTCTTGCATATACTTTCTCTCTTTTCTCCTATCGTATAAGGCCTTCTCATATGCTCTCCTTTCTTTCTGCTACTATACACTAACTTCATGGCACTACTCTTACTTTTCTTGATGTACTATCATCAGGTTTCTTTGCAGCATTTTGAATCAAATACAATAAACTGATTGAAGAACCCATTTTACATTGAAAAAAATTCCGTCCTCAAAGGTTCCATAACACATTTTTGCAGTTATTTTTAAAGCAATTTCAATCAAAGTGTAATCTTATAGTCGATTTATTATCTGATTCTATAGTACTAAGTGCCTTCACTTTGATGGATACGATTGCGCAAAATATTCGTGAATTTGCTGATTAATTCACTTGTATCTAATATATACTTCACATGTACTGTCATACAGATGGACAAAGATA